CATCTATTCTCTGCCTCCCAAATCCCAGCTGATCGGGAGAAAATGGGGATTTTGCAGTAACCTTCCCCTGGATTGGGGAGGGAATGGAGATTTTACAGTATCCTTCCTCTGGAGTGGGGTGAGAATGGAGATTTTACAGAATCCTTCCCCTGCCACGCCCAAGCCACAACCACAGAACCGGTAGTAAAAACATTTGAAATCCACCACTGCTACAAGATCCCTTCCAACTCTGTTATTCTGTTAAGTATAAGAATCCCCTATCAGCCATAAGAATCTTTCAAAATATTCCTCTCTTTCGAGGAAGTAAAAGCAGTTTCTTTTCTCTTTATCAAATAGGACTGGTAAGGGATAAACATTCAGGATATATCTTCAGCATCACCTCTAACCCAGCAAAAAATATTGGAGATCTTTTCTGCCTTTCCTTCAACTTTTTGTGCATAAAGAGAAAAAAAGAAAATGCTAGGGAAATGCAGATGGTTTCAATGGGAAGAGAAGCTCATCTGGAATCCATTTCTCTCTACCCAGGAAAATCCTGAGATTGAGACAATTGTTATCTCTGACAGCTTAGTTCTTGCTTTCAAACTGTTTCTCCTTTTAAGTGAGCAGCCATAATGAATTTGCAGCGAGCCTGGCTTTACTCTAAATTTATCCAGGACTCTTTCCCACTTTTTAAAATAAGAGTATTTTTCTACTCATGAATTATTTAAGCTTTGTGCCTAACAGTTTGTTCTGCACATTCATGAGTCTACAAGAGTTGAAGTTATATAGCCGTGATGACGAACCTTTGGCATGCGTGCCAAGAGGTGGCACACAGAATCCTCTGCTCTTCTAGTTTCCGGCGTGCGCATGTGTGCTGGCAAGCTGATTTTCACGCGTGCCGGAGCCCTGGAAACCCGAACACCAGGTGGCCGGTGCGCACATGCGCAGTGGCCAACTTGTCTTTGAGCTTCTGGGGTTCTGGTGCGCTTGCACATGCACGCACATTCGTTTCAGTTTAGGCACTCGGTACCGAAAAGGTTCTCCATCACTGACCTATGCCAAAATACTAAAATTCTGTTTTCACTTTGTCATTATGGGGTACTGAGTATAGATTAATGAGAAAAAATGAAATTCAACAACAAATAGAATCACGCTGCAGCATGATTATCTAATCTTTATTATCTAATCTTGTTGCTGGTATCCTTACGATTTATATTGATATTGTTTCCTGATTTGTAACTTATGACTATCATTAAGTGTTGTACTTTATGATTCTTGATGAACGTATCTTTTATGTGCACTGAGAGCGTATGCACCAAGACAAATTCCTTGTGTGTCCAATCACACTTGGCCAATAAAAATTCTATTCTATTCTATTCTATATATCTCTATATCTCTAGAGATATATATCAATTGATAGATATTTCACATACACATATACTACATACGTTTAGACTACTGGTAGGTTTATAGTCCCTTATAGCTTTATGTTAAGCACCATTTACCACCTTGAAAAAGATGTATAATTCAACTTTGGCATTTTTTTGCTCTTTTTAGTACTTATGCAATATCTAAATGAAAAATCATTTTAGGGGAAATTTAGCTTTACTATTGAACATAGGTAAGTGTAGATTAGTAATAGCATCAGGAAGTTTCAAAATGGGCATATAGGTTATTTTTTAAATGGCGCAGTTAAAAAATACCTGTCACAGAATGCAGAGAGAATGTATAAATGGGAGTTTTGACCATGATAAAGGAGCAATCTCTAACTACAATAACCTCAATAAATACAGATTTATTGCAAAAGGAATAAAGATCTATGAAGATTTCTACGTAGTGCATTTGTTAACATCTATAAAGAGGTTTTATTTTTTAAAGTATATTTTGCCCCCCCCTTTCTAAAATGTTGTTTAGAAAGAATTTCTGCTGATCTCTTGATTGAGCTAAAAAATTAATGTGCTCTACCTTCCTGAATGTATTATATTAATAGTATGCCAATGTATGTAAATGAGCCTAAATTCAGTGAGATGGATGTATTTAAATATTCATAATCACCAGGCAGCCTATGCAAACTAAGTTCTTAGCTGAATTGCAATATGATGTCTGAAAACCAGCTGTACCAGAGCAGACACATTTTACCATAATGGATTCAGTTGTTACTGAAAATGTTGACAATGTTACTTGGGTATACATTACAGAAAAAGAACATGAATAATATTAATGTTCATATGCTTCATGGATCTGGATGCAGACAACCTTTTTTTTCCTAAACATTTGCTTTGATCGCAAATGTGGTTTGGTTTCATGTTTAGAAAAGTAGTAGCTGGCTATATATGGCAAACAGGACTAAATTTCTGGAAGCTATAAATTCAGCTCTGTTATTACTCTAATTTGTTTCCATTAAATGCTCATGTCCTTTCTTCATCCATTTACTCAGAGCACAGCTTTGATCTGGTGTGTTTATCCAATGTAAAACAGACTCTTTGGGCTCAAAGAAGTAAACAATGATTTGTACTCTCACATGTCAAAGTACATTATAATTTTTAGAGGTTGACCAATGTACATCAAAGAAATGACAGAATGCAGCCTGCAACTTGGTGTTTTACAAAAGTCCCACATTTAGCCTCAGGATGGACACTGTCACTAAGCAGTTATAGTACAGTACTGAATTAGGTGAATCAAAGATCTAGCTGGATAGGAAATGATAACTTAAATTATAGATATCCTTAACTTATGACCATGATTGGACCAGAATTTCCATTGCTCAGCAAGGTGGTTGTTAAGTGACTTGGGCTCAATTTTACAACCTTTCCGCCCCAATGATAGCTAAGTGAATCACTGTAATTGTTAAAGATAACCATGTGCCTGTTAAGTGAATCAGGCTTCCCTCATTGACTTTGCTTGTCTGAAGCTGGCTAGGAAGGTCGTCACATGATCTTGGGATGCTGCCATCATCATAAATGCATGCCAGGTGCCAAGGGCCCAAATTTTGATCACATGACCGTGGGGATGTTGCAATAGTCATAAATGCAAGGACTGGTCAAAAGTCACTTTTTTCAGCCCCACTGTGCCTTTGAACGGTCACTAAAGGAGTGCTTGTAAGTCATAAGTCAAGGACTACTTGCATATGCAAATACTTTTATTCATGTGATATTTTCTCTATCCCGAATGAAATATTTTGTAGAAAGCTTGAATGGTTCTCCGTTAAACTAGCCCTCCCACAATGACCTCTTTCTGGGTCATATTCAGAATACAAAATCCTAACCAAGTTTTGTACTGGAAGTTATCATATATTGTCTCTTGCTGATTTGCAAAGTTGGGGCAATCATCTTTCCTTGCCACTAAATTCCAAAATAAAGTTTATGATTTAAGTCCTTTAGAATCACAGAATGATAAGATAGATAAGCAGTGTAAAAAAATAACCTGAATTGTGGTCTCTGTGGGTAGAAGGGTGAAGGAATGTAGACCTTGGGAATGAGGAAGAAAGGAGCCAACCCTTAAGAGGGAATTTGGAGAAAATATGACTTTATTCTGAGAGAGAGGAAAGCACGAGAATGAAACTCAAAATAACCCTACCTTGATTTTGTTCAATATAAAGTGAGGCAGAGGAAATCTCTGAAGGACTTTCCAACTTCTGTTATTCTACCCTACTGTTATACTGGTAGTCCTTGATTTACAACAGTACATTTAGTAACCATTCAAAATTACAAAGGCACTGAAAAATGACCATTTTTCATACTTACAACCATTGTAACATCTCCACGGTCAAGTGATCAAAATTCGGGCACTTAGCAAATGACTCATATTTAGGATGGTTGTAGTGTTTCCAGGGTCATGTAATCAATCACCTTTGGCAACTTTCTGACAAGAAAAAGTCAATGGGAAAGCCAGATTCACTTAACAATTGTGGCAAGAAAAGTCATAAAATGGGGCAAAATTCACTTAACAATTGTTTTGCTTAACACCAGAAATTTTGGGCTCAAATGTAGTTGTAAATCAAGGACTACCTGTAAAGCACATTCTTCGAATCACCGCCAAATCTGTCTCTTGACTTGGCCTACCTTGAAGGGCTGACATGTCAGGTAAACGACAATTTGCCAGAGAGATTAGTTTATTGTTTCCTTGGAGACACCAGAATTATTTATTTTTCTTATCAAGCAAACTGCAGTACAGTTCTGTATTGGTCTTTTTCTTTCTTTCTTTCTCTCTTTCCTTCCTTCCTTCCTTTCCTCTTCCTTCCTTCCTTCCTTTCCTCTTCCTTCCTTCTTTCCTTCTTTCCTTTCCTTTCTTTTTTCCTCTTCTTTTTTGCTGAACCTATAGGTATTTTTTTGTATTGAATTTCCATCTCCCAATGTAAATCAACCATATAGTCTATCTGTAGCAGTGGAAATGCTCAGGCATGGAAGAACTGATTTTTTGCTTAAGCTACAGCACAAACCTTTGCTGGAGAAAGAATACTGGCAGCATACTATATGCATGCTTATTTTTTTTTAAAAAAAAACCCTCCCGCAGAATGGGAGTTACTGTTAGACTAGGATACTGTACAGCACGACTGGATTTCTGCTTTAATTCTCTAGGTCATTGCAGTTTGTTTACCTGTCCTTTGTCAGGCTGACTGCAGTAATCTAGCTGAACTTTTAAAAAAAAAAAATCATCCAGACCTCCTCCAAAAGCATTTGGCAGGATTGGGAAAATCAAATCTGCCTTTATAGTACATTTCAGTCTGAAGCTGAGAAGAGATTTAGACAGCATCAAAAACACATACTACTGAAATACCTTCAGTTTGGGCAGCTTTCCCCCACCCCCACCCCCTTTCTCTGACTTGACGAGAACGGAAGAGGGGGAAAAAAAAGGAAAAGAGAAAGAATATATTATATATGCACAAGAAGCCTTCCTCGCATTGAGAGTTGTGGGTGGGGAAATGGGACGGGCGGGAGGGGAAGCCGGCTGGAAAGGGGAGGGGGCCTCTCTGCTCCACCTAGTGGCAACCTCGGGGGTATGCAGGATGCGGCAAAGGCCTTTGCATAAATTATGTTCATGACGCAGCAGCTAAAAAATCCCGAGTATCAAAATCTGCCCCTGCCTTCCAGCCCCCCCCAGGCGGGGTAAGAGCTTCGCTGGCTGTACCTGGAGATGGGGAGGGGGGCATCCCTGATGCAAGCCTTCGGGGGCTGCGGTTCCAGCAGGATTTGAGGCCGGCTGGGCCTGGGGGGGGTGGGGGGAACAAGCACTGCCCCCCCTTTTTTTGTGTGTGCTTGCAGCAACCTTCGCTCCAGCTGCTGTGAGATGAATTTTTAATCATTCCCCAGGGAAAAAAAAGAAAAAGTGTGGGGAGGGGGGAGATCGGCTCGGCGGAGCCCCAGCCCGGGCTGGGGGCAAGCGTTCTCTCCCGGCTGCACAGCGGTGAGTGGGGGTGCGGCGGGCCGGTATGGCGTGGATCGGGGGGCGGGGGGGACCCGGTTCGGTGAATATGCAATGGTCTTAATTAGCATAATTTATATATTTATGATAAAGAGAGAGGGGAGAAAACAGGGAACGGGGAGGACGGGGTTGGGACCACGTTGTATGTGGTCTGTGGAAAGATTTTTTTTGGGGGGGTGTTCCGATCGGGGAGGGGGCTCAATCAAAATAATGGAGGGACTTAAGCCAAGGGAGTCCGATCGATCGAACGGGATATTTGGGAGACGGTGGGGAACTTGGTGCTCAAACAGAAGTGGGTCTTGGGGGTCGGAGCGGGGAGTCTTCCCCTCCCGAATCAATGGGGGGTGGTGGTGGTTTGAAATGGAGCTTTGGAGGACGATCTTGGATGTCGGGACCGGGACGGGCTGCTTAAGAGAGGGGAGGTGGTGGAGGAAGTCTTGGGAATCAGGCTAGTGGGGAAATCAGGGAAAGGGACGGGGTTAGTCCATGGGGATGGCAGCAGCGGGCTGCAGGGGAAGCTGTGGGTGCGATGTGGGGGGGGAGTGGGGTGGGGAGGCATGGAAAAGGCGGTGTTTCTGGGTTTTCTGTCGGGAAAAGCAACCCATCTCGGGGTATCTCGTTGGGGCGAATGGGGAGGCGTGTGGGAAAAAGCTTTCGGTGGGAACTGGGATCGCGCTCCCTGTCAGGATCTGGGTCGGGGGAAACCACTTGAGGGAAGATCCTTCATGTCATCCAGAGGAAGGCTGAAGCGCGGGATGAAGGGCTGTCGTCGCCTGGAGGGCGCGCCTTTCCAGCTTCCCCTGGGAGTTGGAAGAGTTGAGCATCGGGGACGATGCCGGGGGATGGGTGCGCAAAGGAGGCGGTGGCGGGAGAGGACTTGGACTTGGGCAAAGGCTGCGGGCGGGGTAAGGAGGTGCGAAACGCGGGTTTCGCAGCCCGAAGGCGTGCACTGACGTCGAGGCAGGTGAAAAAGAACGGGACTTCCTCTCCGAGCAAGAAGGGAGAGCCAGGATGAGCTGGGCTGCGGATGGGGTGGAGGAGCGGGCAGCGAACAAGAAAGGAGAAATTCAGGGAAGTTCGCGAGTGCTCGGAGCGAACTACGCGGGAAAAAAGAAACTCGTTGGAGCCCGAGCGCAGCCATGGAGCTTCTGTTCAGTGCCGGAGCTCGGCCCTAAATACATAAATAATGAGAAAATTCGAGAAAGGCGAAAAGCTGCCAGCAAAACCGAGACCTACGCCGTGTGTAAAAGGCAAAGGCGATCCCTTTTATTGTGGCTCGTATTTTGAAAATCCGACGCAAGGGATCTTCTGTGCGCCCTTGGAGGTTCCTCTGCAGACGGATTGGTGGTTATTACGGGGTATATATAAACAAGGAGACCAAAAAGAGTTGGAAAAGCAACGGTGTCGTCCTGCTTCTAGTTTAGGAAAAAGTCTGAGCGCTTTCCTTCGGGCTATTTATAGATTCCGAATCCGAGCTCCAATTGTTTTATTAGCTGTAACAGAGCAATCGTGCATCTGTCTACTCGGGAAGCTCCATCGACTGCAATGGGGGATTTAGCTATGCGATTGTAGCCTTCAAAGGATCAGGGCGGCAGGAGAGAGAGAGTGAGAGTGTGTGTAGGGGGGGATTGAAAAGTGACATCTGGTGATGTTTTTCAATTGTAGCACAGGGGCAAAAAAGAAAAGGTAACTGCTCCATATTTTATTTCCTTTTGCTAAAACAGTAAGTAGTAGCTTTTATCAAATGGTATACATTTGGAGCAAATAATCAGATATGTCTGCTCCCATATTTAGCCCTTCGCCCACAAATGCCTAAACATCTTTGAAAGCCATAGATCTTTCACTCAGTCACATAATGGTTAGCCTTGAAAATGTTGCTTAAATCCTGTGAAATCTGAAATTAAGGAACGAGGAGATCAAGGCCAAAGGACACAAATTCCACAACAGCTTCTCAACACCCTTTCCCTCCCTGCTTCCTCTACATTTTACAGATTTAACAACAAACTAAAGATCCGGCTGTTAAATGTGGTAAAAGCCATATGAACCATATTGCTTCTATCCATACTGTCCTTCATTCTAAAACTTGTGTTGCATAGTAATCCAGATGTGGAGAAAAAACCTCCAATAACCTTCCCTCTGAAATGCTATTTACAATTTTGTGAGTGCCTGCCTATAATCTCAAGAAGTACAAGGAAGACACTATCCTCTTAGTAAGAACTAGACTAGAGGATTGTAAAGAAGAATGTGCTTGAAAAGGATTGTTGAGTGAGCATGGGTTTAACATTATACATTTTGACAGGTACCTCTGCTATCTAAAACATTATCCATAGAAAATGCTGTAAAATAAGATCACCGGTATAGCTGGGAGTGTCCTATATAAGAAATTTGGATGAATCGCTGAGTTATTGCTGAGGATGACAGTTTCTTGTCTTCACCCATGAACCATTCCTAACAAATATATCACACCAAAATCTTTATTTTGGTCATGGACCAACATAGCAACAAAATGTGATAATTAGAGCTAATCATTTTCAAATTTTATGTGATAACTGTTCTAAAAATAATCCTGTTGAGCAGGAAATGAAGAGATGTGGCAGCATTGCTTTAGTGCCTGCTGAATTATTCTGTCCACAGTCCTCTTGGCGTGATTTGAGAGGCAGTGTTTGTGCAATAAATGTTCACACATGCTCAGATAGCTGGTGAAAGACAGTACATTTCTGGTCTCCTAGAGACTCCAGAATGAAGTATTGATATAATATTTTAATAAGTATATATGTAAATGCTATTGTGTAAGGCTGTGTCCCCAACCCCTGTTGGGAACTGGGTTACACAAGCGGTGGGCGAGTGGGCAAAACTATTTGCACAAGCAGTGGGTGAGCACATGCACGCTGCTTGCACAGAACCATTTTTCCCCCCTCCACACCCCCAGGGCTACTTCCTGCACCAGTCCCTAGAACTGGAAAGGTTGGGGACTTCTGGTGTAAGGCAATGTACAGGCTATGATTCTAAAATTAAGGTGACTTCATATAGAAAAGCAGACAGAGTTGGAAGGGTGGAGTTAAGTGAGTCATCAGCCCAGAGTCCTTACATTTTCATAAACGATCTAGGTCCAACCCCTCTTGAATTCCGTTGACCTTATCTGGTGCCAATTTAGTATTGTATGTTAGTTAACTAAATTCTTATGTGTTGGCTTCAGCAATAATCATTATGAACTGGAATTTATATGCAATCCAGATCCTTTGCACAGGAGATTTCAGTTCAGATCCCCACAGCCATGTAAGATTGGACACCCTTTCTCATTCTGACTTCCCTCATGCTCCCTGGATTGATATGAAGGTCAGATTGAGAGATGGATGAGCCATGAGATGAAGTTACCCTTGTAGCTGGCCATGAGCTCCTTGTATAAGTAAGAGAGAGATGGAAGGAATCTTACTAATTTGTTTGTTTGTCCCACACTGCTGGGGACACTTGATGATTTAAAATCATGGTACTGTAATAATCAGCCAGTTAAAAACTTCCACACTAACCACATTATTAACAACATCATTAACCAATCAAATAATAGTAATATTGTTATACATTTTCATTTGGGATGAATTCTTCTGCAGGTTCCATTCGTATGAAGATACTACATTCTTTAAAACAGCTAAGTAATGCCAAAATGGGGGAACTTGTGAGAAACAAAAAAATCATGGATCTGACAGTACTTTCAGCACCTGTACTGCTATTCCATTTGTAGTTTATTATGTTTGTCTGGAGGTGCAAAGCTGGAGAGGTTGCAAATGGTCTTGTATTTTATTTTATTTGCTTAGGACAACTTGATAGATTTGCTTAGGATAACTTGTCTAAAAATGAACTCATTTCACTTGGGTTAATTTAAAACAGCTCTAAGCTTTGGAAGATGTCATCCCCCAAAATACTTGGCCCCATCCTTTCCTGCATTTGAAAACTGTTTTCCAAGCAAGCCTTCAACCCAGCTGATTGTGGCCATCCATCATAGGCAGCTTTCTATTATGAGTCTGTTGAAGTTATTAGATATTATACCAAGGATTATTTTACTTCTGTTTCGATGTTCACTGCCTGATATATGACCAGATTGGGGCAGTTTACAAAATTATAAAATAAATGGGTAATATATGCATCCATTGCACTACACCTTATTTTAAAAATTTATGTCTACTCCATTTTTTAATTCACCGCTTTAGATATTAGGATAGGAGGGCAAGCTATTGGCCCTGTGCCTGCCTTTTTGAAAATCTATGTTCAAACTATTATTAAATGCATCATATTTCATTTATTTAAAGTGGAGGAAACAAATATTTATCAATAAAAGATAATACTTGTAGCTCAGAGTTGAATTGTGGAGTCCTTGGTGCTTTCTGCAACCAAGGACTTGGTTGTTTTCTTACAGACATTGGGTAGTTGTGTAATGAAACGTTTACAAGAAAACATTTGCAAGAAAACAAGCTCAGAGAGCACCAAGGGACCAAGCACCCAAAAAGGACTCCACCAACAAATGTTTAATAGATTTACCTACAAACATTGAAATTCTGTTAGTCAGCAATAGCAAACTATAGTATTACTAGATACCACCTTCTCTTTTCCCTAACATGGAATGTCAATACATTGCGAACATTTAATTCAATGTTGTATTAATATGTTGTTTTATTTTGTACTGCAGGCAAAAATATATCTCTTCCTGTGTGCTGAGAGTTCAGGAAATAGCTTTTATCTTTTTATTCCTCTTGCCAAATTCATTGCAAAAGCGAGCCAATGTTTTATCTGAAATAATCTAAACAAAGCAGCTAAAGTTTCTTTAAAAAACAATAACAAAACTTTACATTTATATATTGCTCTTCGCTTTGGTAGGGCAGGTTTCTCTTCAAATCGAAAATGCCAGGAAAGAGCCTTTGGTTTTTATTATAGTACGTGAAGGCAGGTAAATTATCACATTTCTCTGTTGTACAACAGGTATATAATAT